TTTTCATTATTTGTATCATTTTTCTATAGGTTCCATAATCCATATTTTTTCATATATTTATTAATCTTTATTTTTCTTTTGGGTCAAAGTATCTATTTAAATTTCTGAATGAGTGCATCTTCAATCTAATCAGACCAAAACAAAACCGATCACACTAGTTTAGGTTGGTTTTGTTCTGCTATGAATTTAGGATGGTTCTTTTGAGTTTGGTTAAGGGGCTGTTTGGTTGTACACTTTTTGAGAAAACTTTTCTCAAAATATCTGACAATGGTAAATTTGTAATTAAAAATTTTCCAGAGATTTCTGTAAATTGTGTTTGGTTCAACAAAAAATTTACAGAAATATTTTCTATAAAATATCAAAACCTACCAAATTTTACTAAAAGCAATTTCCTCTCAAAATAAGAGGAAATCACCAGAAATCTGACACATACCATATTTAATTAAAAACCTACCTAATCTTGTTATTTTCTATAAAGTTATGAGCTATTTTCTTGTTTTGAACCAAACAAGCAAAGTAAAAAAAACAAGAAAATTAGTACTTTTTGATTTCTCAAAATTTTTCCTATAATTTTTTTAAGAAATACAAGGAAATAATATTTTAGGTGGAAAATATTTCCTATAATTTCTAGAAATTGAACCAAACACCCCCTAAGAGACCAATTTGATCCCTATACTAGGGCTTCATGCTCAAATTGGTCCCCGTACTTATTTTTTCTCAACTTGGTCCTTGTTCATGGGGCTTTATACTCAAATTGGTTCACGTAATTTATTTTGTCTCAACTTCATCCCTGTACTGGGGATTCATGCACAAATTGATCCCCCTACTTTATTTTAACTTTCAACATTTTGTAGTAAGCTCCCAATAACTTTAAGCATCACACTAAACCCCTAATAACTTCAAAAATCACACTAAACTCCTTTTACCTTTGCAAAAAAAATCCCCAAAGCTAACATCATGACATCTGACATGGGACATGCAACCCAAGTGACTTAAAAAGAGCAAATTGCTCCTTAAATTATTAAAATAGTGACCTTTTTCTTTTGAGGAAATACATTTTTGGCGCACATAACAACAACCATAACTACTGCGCCTTTGGTGCATATGAGAATCGAACTCAGACTCTCCTGTGAGGAAGCAACATGGTTTTGCCATATGACCTTTTTATACTTTCAATTCTAAAAATGGAAATCCCCTTTTTTTTGTTTTATTTTCCCATTGCTCGCTCTGGTTAGGGTTGAAAACCCTTATTGTCTTTTTCTTTTGATGAAATTATCCTTCAAAATGTCTTTTTAAGTTATTTTTTGGTTCAAATTTAACGGGGTTATTTGCAAAATGCGAAAACTTATTGGAAATTTTTTGCAATTCCAAAATTTTATGGGGAGTGTAGTATGATTTGGCGAAGTTATTGTGGGTTTAGTGTGATTTTGAAAGATATTAAGGGTGTAGGGTTACTTTTGAAAACTCTTGGAGGGTTTAGTGTGATTTTGAAAGATATTAAGGGTGTAGGGTTACTTTTGAAAACTCTTGGAGGGTTTAGTGTGACGTTGAAAGATATTTGAAATTTACTGCAAAATGATTGAAGCAAAAATAAAGTAGAGGGACCAATTTGGGTATGAAGCTCCAGTAAAGAAATTAAGTTGAGAAAAATTGAAGTAGAAGGATCAATTTGGGGATGCAGCCCTGGTACATAAACCAAGTTGAGAAAAAAAATAAAGTAAAATGAGCAAATTCTGATATTTCTAAAATTATTTTGATATTTTGCAGCAGTGACTACCATAACTCATGTAGTTTTCTGAAAACTAACTTGAGTTAATGGTAAAATTCTGGAAGTTTAGCTAATACAATAATTTTATTAGCATATTTACGAGTAATATTTCAAAGAGAATTATGCAAAATGTTTCTTCCAGAAGTGTATATACGTCCAGCTCTACAGAGAAGAGAAAGGAAGGAGGGGTCGATATGCTATTAATTAGTGTTTACACTGGAGACGTGAGCAAGGCAATGAATGGAAACTTGTGTTAAAGGTTACAAGACGTAGTAAGGGCTGGGTCCATAGCATTCAAGACGCACGTTGTCAGTTTGTTGGATGTTGGCAGAGAGACATGGGCCCCCCCACCCCATGCCCATTCTATCAATTTCGGAAAAATAATTATAGACAACCCTCCATAGGAACCATATAGCGATAGGCGCAGATGAAGAACTACATTTATCATGATTCTTGATGCACACGTAACTATCAGCTATCAATATAATCAGACTGTCTATCCATATAGGTGTTATAACTTATAAGTGGCATTTATACCAATGAGCACACAAATTTTTGTTCAAACATAACTGTAAACTACCAGTACAGTCACGTTGTTTGTTATTGCAGTATGTTAGAACTGTTGGCCTTCTTGTTTTGATGATGTTTAATAAACAATTTACTTCTAATGTTGTTTGTCTAGTGTTTGTATAATTCTATTTATTGTAGACAAACAACAAGTTGGATGTTGGATGGATTGCGCTTCAACGATCAACTCCAATGGAGGTTGGCGGAATTGTGGAGTGAAGCCTATGCAATTCAAATTAAAAATCCAAGTTCTAGCTTCATCCGCAAGTGTACCAAGTTGAGCTACATCAAAGATCAATCAAGCTTGGGTATATTTAGTTTAGGTTTTATATTATGTGTGTTAGTACTTTAAGCTCAATCATATATACACACACATATTTGGTTTTTATATATATAGTTATATATATACACAAGTTTTGGATTATGCATTTAACAATCATTGTATACATATTTCATTAAGTCTATAAAATTATTCCATATGGTTTCAAAATATTGTTTATGTTAAAACATCAAATTTCATGTATATCATATTTTCATGTTTTGGACACACTTGCAAAATACATGAGTTTTCACAAATAAAAAACTCAATTTGAGAAATTCTTTTTCTAACATGTTCAATTTCATGCTTATAAATGTTTTCTAAAGTTTTATCAATTTTGAAATTAATTTGTTATGATTATTTGAATTTACAAAATCAAGTTTTTAATAAGCTCATGTTCGTGCATATGTTCGTGCATGTTTTTACAAAACAGATACGTTTTCACAATTGGGAAATGCAATTTAAAAAATTTCTTTGTTTACATGTTTATCTTCATATATAAAAACATTTTCCCAAGTTTTACTAATTTTGGAGTTGTTTTGTTATTTTTAATTGAATTTACAAAACCAAGTTTTCAACAGTTTTTTTTAGAAACTGTATATCTGTGTTTAAACAGTTATTTCTCTCAACTGAGAAATTATATTTCAGAAATATTTTCTCAAACATGTTTATCTACATGTTTAGAACCTTCCCTCAAAATTTCATAATTTTTAGAGTTGATTTACTATTTTTAATTAATTTTACAAAGTCAGATATACAAAATTCCAGCATCTGTCAAAATCTGGAAAAGTGCGATCGACCGCCACGGTCGACCGTGCTACAGTGCGGTTGACCGCCACGGTCGAACTCCACGGTCGACCGTCAGTAGTACAAAGACCAGTTTTGTAGTTTTTCTTCTCGCGGTCGACCGCCACGGTCGACCGCCGAAGTTATCGTTGCACAGTAACGGTAACTTGCTTATTTTTATTTTTTAGTGGGTTTTTGGGGTTTTTGGGGTTTTTTGGGTTGTTTTCTTCTTCCCTATATATACCCCTTTTCCATAACTATTTTCTACATCCAAAAGAATGTTTTAAAAGAGTTTTAACAAGGGTTTAAGTTTGTTTTGTGTTTGTTTAAAAGAGTGTTTAAGAGTTTGTTTGTGAAGAGAATTTCACAAGAGTTTGAGGAGATCATTAATCTTGTTTGGACTTCAATCTACATCTCTCCACTCTTGTTTTAGAGAAGTTTTCTTAAACTCTTTATCTAGCTTGTTTATGCTTAATATGTCACATTTATTTTGCTAGATTAAAATTGAGTTTAGACTTGTTTTTCTCATTGCTTACACACACAACCATTGAGCATTTATTTTGCTAGATTAAAATTGAGTTTAGACTTGTTTTTCTCATTGCTTACACACACAACCATTGAGCTTATTGTATTTTCATACTTAGTATAATTTAGGTTGTGGGGAGTTGTAACAATTGAGAGTGAGCTACATTGAGTTCTCATCTGTTGTGGAGAACATATTTGTTGTTACATTGTTAGTGTTGTAAAGTTTCGATGAGCTAGAAAACCGAGTGTGAGGAGTGAACGTTGATCGGTGAGCATTGAAAACCAACATTGTGAGTGATTGTGAACGTTGATCGATGAACGTTGAAAACTGATATTTTAATGTGTAAACGTTATTCAGGTGAGTGTAGAAAACCCGGTTATTATAGTGGATTTCTCCCCGGGA